TTTTTTTTTTTTTTTTTTTTTTTTTTTTTTTTTTTTTTTTTTTTTAAAAAAAAGCTGCACATAGTTCTTTGGAAGTTTCCGAGAAATTTTCGGAATGATTAAAAAAAAATACCCACAAACAATTTCGACGCGATATTTTCGTTCGTTCTGGTTTCTTTTTATTAAAGCAAATTAATTTTACGCGAATCAAGTCTCAGATTCCCTGCATCATTTAAACATCGTCCGAGTCTCTGAATCGTTGCAATTAAGACACACATTTACCCTTTAATTTCGGTAAAAACCGGGCAGGGACCGTCAAAAGAAATGACACCTGGTCTCAGTTTTACGGCGATTTTAGCGTCGCGCAATCCAGGGAAGGGGCGCAGCGCAGTCGAGTGTCTAGTCATCTTCACAGTGTGATGCGCCTTCAATCCAGTTAGCGGCAATGTGTCTACACCCGTGGTCGAATAGTTATCTCAAATAACTCTCGTACTGCGTTTGGTGCAATGCGAGAAGTATTCATGCAGTCTTGTAGGCGTTTGACGCCGAGCGCGTTGTTTGGCGCAATGCGTAAAGTATTCCTGCAGTCTTGCAGGCGCTGATCACGCCGTGTTTGGCGTGATTATTCGATCTCGCGTTGTGCTTCGACGCCGTATGAGCATTCCAACATTGCCTCGTTTCTACCGATAAAATATTTTTTCTGGGAAAGGTTTGAAAACGAAAATTTTTATTTTTAAATTATATATTTGCTATCAATAACTACAGAGGATCTAGTAGGAAAACAGAGGTGACATCAAAATTATAAGGAAGAGTTCAACATAACTTACTGCGAGATAATAAGGTCTGCAAAATTACAATACAAGGCCAAACACCTGAAATAGATAACAAATTCTGCATTGAGGATGCTTCCAGGCCTACCTCGAAAATTGAAGGCGAAATAACAATGCTCCTTCAATCCTCTTGTTTTGTCAAATCTGACTTCTTCAAATTTTGAGTCAGAATATAGAGAGAATTATAATTTCACCTAAAAAGATTTCAGGAGTCAACTATTTGGATCAAAAATAATTTTTTGGGGCATTATTATGATCGAATCCACGCTGACGATCAAAGCCACAGCCCTCAAATTTTGATGGCATTAATTGATTTTTAACACATTTGCATAACATTTATGGATCAAATTATATGAAACTCGATATTCTAAGGTAACTTCGAGGGCTATTCCCAGGTGTAGTCAGGGAATAATGCACAATTGACATGTTGCTAATTTTTAAAATATATTCCCTGCAAAGCTTATCTCGGTTTTTGCACCCTTAGGTATGAGTTTTTCGTCAAAATTGGGTGAAATTCTTGAAAGTATCCTTGAACCTAAACTTTCATTTAATTTGATACATGGGCGTTGCCAAAATGCAAAAGAAACATTTTCTCAAGTTAAATCTTTGAGAGTGAGCGGATTTTTAAGATTTTTTTTTTTGGGGGGGGGGGATAAATAATCATTTCTGGCTGAAAAAACTTACTTCCATATTTTAAAATATAACTAAAACTAGAAAAATTTCCAAAAACTTCAGAGTAACGGTATTAACTGCCGAGGAACTCAGCTTCATTATCAAGAATAGTTTGACGTTGGTTTTTGAAATTCAGCCTCAAGCGTTTGAATGCGAGCAAAAACAAATACGCATCTTACAGGATATTCAACGAGGCGCATAACTCGGAACTAATAGTTTTCAAAGCGTTATCGTTATAAAAGTTTCTGTTTCACCGGCCATTTCCACTCTCCAGCGCGGAACGATGCGCTCGGTAAATCAAAACTTATATTACAAAATACAGCACCATCCATTCTTAGCCATCTTCTCCAAACGAGTTTCTCCTCTTTGACTTCCTCGTCTCGATCGAGGTTGTCCAAAATGTAAGCATGAATGGACGTGGTAATGCTAAAAGAAACTATGTGCACAAGTTTAACGTGTAACACGGTCCCTTTTAGCATAAATATGCGTAATTGGAACTCATGATTGGATTGCATTTTGCAAACACAGAAAAAAATAATATGCTGTTTTAGCATCTAGGATGTCAAAAATGTGTCTGGTCATCCTAAGATGCTGCCTTTACTGCCCCCGCAGTTAATTTTACAACCTGTGAATGCAAAATCAACTGCGGGAGCAGTAAAGGCAGCATCTTGGGATCACCAGACACATTTTTGACATCCTAGATGCTAAAACAGCATATTATTTTTTTCAGTGAATGACCAGAAGCATTGCAATGATGCTAAGATTGTGCAACTTCATTCTTTGCAATAAAATTACTGAAATCGTGGAAAAATATGAAATTTAGACGGTAATTTTGTCTTAAATTTACAGTTTTAGCGAGTAAAATAGAAACTGCTAATGGATAATCAGGTTTTTCCTCCGAAACAACAGAAGCTGCACAGTCTTTGCAACATTGCGATGCTCCTGGTTCCTTCTTGCAAAATGCAATCCAATTAGTAGACGGAAAATTTGTCGAGAGGTTTAAAATTGAAGAGGCGAGCCGCAAGAGATTTAAAAAAATGGAATTTTCGAGTGAAATTGGACTTATCTCGGCCTCACGGAACTATATACATGATGAAGTGAGCCCTTTTATACATATATTATTATGAGTCTTAGGGCTCATGTCTTAATGCACATAGTTCCGTTTGGCAGAAATACGTCAAACTGATTCTGTGTCCTCTTCTACATACTACTTTTTATAGTGTTTAGATTAAAATATATGCATCGTAAAAAAAAGTAAATGGCAGTATAGGCACTGTAATTAAACGTATCAGTATGAAATGACTGATCAACTGTATGGCACATTGGTTTGATTTTTATTTTTGTCCGCGAACCATTTGCGGAGCGATTTTCGGTCCAGGAGATCCCTCCAACTTTCCATCCATTCAAACTCATGGCTGGAGTAATGTTCACTATTGTCTCTGTTGCAAGCACCGTCCACGCATTTCCAGAATGGGAACATGCAGCAGCTTGCACTCAACCGGCAGTCCTGAAACACGAGAACATTAAATGAATGGTCAATTTACCCTACCTAGTGGTCGTCTTGACAGTGTCGTCAGCTGAAAAGTATGGGCTGTGGAATCCGACGCAGTTCATAAGTTACGTGATCCTTTTGGGGTTGTGTGAATGTATCCATCAGCATTAAGCATCAGCGCAGGAAGTGTGGAGTGGTTTAGCTGAGCGTTACGCGATGAATTTTTTATGTAGCCTCGCTCAATTCTCGGAAATTAATCGATAAAAAATGTTTAAACTGAAGGGCTTGGTGGACAAGGCGCATAAGTGCAAATTTTTCTATTTTAAGAGTTTAAAATTTCAAAATTTTTTCTGACACTTGTATATGTAGGAAGGAAGTTTAAACTCATTGTTTGATGTTTTGAAGTTTGATTTTAGTTGTGAATTTTTAACAGAATATACTTTCAAACTAGTTTTAGCCGAGAATGTGAACATCTAAATTTTTTTCAAAAATTGCACTCACGCGTATTGTCCTCCAAGTCCCTCAACTGTATACCTTAACTCCAACTATAGACTAAAAATTGTCAGTCCAAAAATTTGTCTTGAAGTCCGAAGTGCACATATACAAAGACGGTGTACCACAAAGACAACAAATAAACGATTGAAAAATTATGTGCAAGGCAAGTTTTTTATTTTATTTTAACCCCATTAATTACATGCAAAATTCATTTTTCTGGTTATAAATTGCCCTGTTCTTGCTTTTCCCTCTTTTATTGTAATAATGGGCCATTGTAACAGCCATCAACTCGTAATTTGAGAGAGCTGTCCAATGCAGCGCATTGTCACGGAGAGTTACAGGAGGTCGTTGAGGTCGTTTTTTTAAAATTAGATTAAATAATTAAATACACAGCATTGAGAGGCATTAAGAGGGATGATGTCAAACTTTTACCTCAGTATTTGTGTTTGTGTGGATTTTAGTCTGAGAGGGAAGAAACAGCTTTTGATTGGCCAAGGACAGATTTTAGTTTGCTTTTTTTCCGCTGGATAATTCTTTCCATGATCTCATTAGCTTGCATAGTATTATAAACATTCATTGCGTAATAACAAGAGCCTGCTCTACATTTAACCTCAGGGTTTTCACAACATTGAAAGTGGAACAGGCATTTCTGAAAGAGGACAAAATGATTGTCAATGATAAGTTTAAGTCAAAGTCAAAGTTTTTCAAACCATCCATCACATTAAAAATTTACTTCCCATAGTGCAATGGTAGAAAAAATGTCTTTCACTTTGATCTGATCAGCAAAATTCGTTTCGGTCTGTTTCAGAGAGTCGGTCACTGAAATATTGTGGTACCACCACAGCTTCAAATGTTCTATGGTACATCTAATTCCGAGTTGCAGTTAAAATAATTTTAATTTATTTTAATCTAATAATTTAGAGGTATTAGTATATGGAAAATTTAGGTTCTATTACTCCAAAGCTATGATGTAACAATTACAACATTATTACAACACATTATTCCACCCATGCTTCAAAAAACGGGTTGCTTTATGCCATCGAAATGGGAACTCACTTTCTATTCTTAGCTCCTTTAAGATCGTATTCTTCGTAGTCCCTTTTTATCGATTCTCGTAAATTATTATTATTAACTAATTTTTCCATGGCGTCGGCGGCTATATTCTCCAGTTTAACATTAACTTCTCTCGGCTGTACACACAAATTGGCTCGACAGACTATTGGTGGGTGGTTGCAACACTCCCTAGACTGATCACACGCCTTAAACACACAAACAAGCAAACAGACAGTAAACAATCGTATACATTTTATTCAGTTTTTTGTGAAAAATGTCTATCGTCTTACCATGCAATTTTTATAAGAGCCAAGTAAGTAATGAGACGAGCAAGGATTCTGGTCAGATGGCCGGCTTTTTCCTAAAAATCAATGCGATTCAATTTGGATTACTTTTTTATCTCTTTACTATCATTCTCGGATGGACATAGTGATACCGGGCCAAGAGGAAACGCCATATGAGTTTTCAGACGTTTCTAAATTTCGAATCCTATAGAATGAATTTCCGAAAAAACTTGTGAATATTTTTCTTCCACTTTTTCAAGGATTTTAAAGGCAATTTAATCTGAAGTATCTGAAAATTTAAAAAAAAAAAAATATGCACAACTTGCCTCGAAAATTGATATTTTATCACGAGAGATCCGACAACCTTTGAGGGGCCATACGGTATTTTTCTTTAGCACGGCAGTAGGCTCCTAAGGAAACGAGCCTACTTTATTGATTGAAAATTTCTTAAAATATTCAATCTAACGCAGATGAATAAAGGCTGAAATA